TCATACATGGTATGTGTACTCACATGCATACATGGTATGTGTACTTACATTCATACATGGTATGTGTACTTACATTCATACATGGTATGTGTACTTACATGCATACATGGTATGTGTACTTACATGCATACATGGTATGTGTACTCACATGCATACATGGTATGTGTACTCGCATGCATACATGGTATGTGTACTGATATGCATACGTGGTATGTGTACTTACATGCATACATGGTATGTGTACTTACATGCATACATGGTATGTGTACTTACATGCATATAGTATGTGTACTCGCATGCATACATGGTATGTGTACTGACATGTATACGTGGTATGTGTACTTATATGCATACATGGTATGTGTACTTACATGCATACATAGTATGTGTACTTACATGCATACATGGTATGTGTACTTACATTCATACATGGTATGTGTACTCACATGCATACATGGTATGTGTACTCACATGCATACATGTTATGTGTACTCGCATGCATACATAGTATGTGTACTCGCATGCATACATGGTATGTGTACTTACATGCATACATGGTATGTGTACTTACATGCATACATGGTATGTGTACTTACATGCATACATGGTATGTATACTTACATGCATACATGGTATGTGTACTTACATGCATACATGATATGTGTACTCACCTGCATACATGGTATGTGTACTTACATTCATACATGGTATGTGTACTTACATGCATACATGGTATGTGTACTTACATGCATACATGGTATGTGTACTCACATGCATACATGGTATGTGTACTTACAATATACTTTAAACTATTTAATTTTCGCTGCTAGAAATATTCACGATTTCAGGATCGTGCAGCATTTGTGAAAACAAAATTTTGCGAAAGTCACTGAGACTCCATGTTGTAGGACCACAGAGAAATTGTCACTGTTCAAAACTTGCGGGATTTGTGAATTGTGATGACAAAATGTTGGGAAAGTCACTGAGACTTCACTCACTGTAGGACCACAAAGAAATTGTCATTGCTACATGTACAATGTTTTGGGAAAGTCACTGAGACTTCACTCACTGTAGGACCACAAAGAAATTGTCATTGCTACATGTACAATGTTTTGGGAAAGTCACTGAGACTTCACTCACTGTAGGACCACAAAGAAATCGTCATTGCTACATGTACAATGTTTTGGGAAAGTCACTGAGACTTCACTCACTGTAGGACCACAAAGAAATCATCATTGCTACATGTACAATGTTTTGGGAAAGTCACTGAGACTTCACTCACTGTAGGACCACAAAGAAATCGTCCTTGCTACATGTACAATGTTTTGGGAAAGTCACTGAGACTTCACTCACTGTAGGACCACAAAGAAATCGTCATTGCTACATGTACAATGTTTTGGGATGTTCACAGACTCATAAATGTTGTTACTCGCAAAATTAAAACAGTTTACAGTATAGCTGATCTGGTGACATAGAAATCAAAGTAAGATACAAGCCATCAATATCTGCAGGAAACAATGAAAATGAACAATGTATTGAATTTCCATACATACCAACAACTGTAATGTATTGGTGTCCATGATTCTTTGTCTTGTTGGTGAGGATTATAACCATCAGATAGTAGTTGTTTTATTCGTGGTATATCTCCTTCCAGGGCTGCACTATGTAGAGGGAATTCATCAACCCAACTTTTACTGAAAATAACAAACACATGATTATAGTTGTAACATGAAATTAGACAGAGGGTTTTCAACCTGCCTATTCACATAGTTCATAACCACTATAGACTTTGGTCAGTCAAAATAACTATTTTGAACTGTAGTCAGACGCCGAGAGATGGTGGTTTCTGAGCAAAAACAGAAACAATAAAGGGTGTCCCAGCTCGGGACAATATTCCCTACTTACGACCGCCACCTAGTTAAGACTAAGACAAACGGTGTTTTACCTTGCCAGTGTCGTCCCCATAACAAAAGCAACTGCTGATAGGGTGACAGGGTCGGCATGCCCAAGGACGCTAGACCCAAACCCAAATTCTGGGGTAACTAGCATTCCAAAGAAAAGAAAAGAGGCCGAAACAGTTCTGCAGTTTGGCAAAAATGCCCTAGGTGTCAGCACTTGCAATTTGCACATACAAGAAAAATGTCAGGAGAGACAACAGTGACAATCAATGTCCAGGAATGTTGCCTGGCACAAAAAAAAGGAGCGCTGATGGGAGAAACTTTTCCGCACAAATCTGTAGAAGAGACTACTCTATCGACTTCGCGCAGGAATCCCTGCAGTCATCCAGGCCAGGTCAGTAACCAAAGTCTGACCCGCTCCGTAACAACGGAACCCACTCTAAAAGAACCCTCCTCAATGGTTTGGGTGTCTCTTAGGTAATAACTGTTGAAGATGTTTGCGTTCTTCAGAAGCCTGCCCTCAGTACATGCTCGAAGGGGGCACCTGATGCAAAAGCGAGTTAGCGATCGCATAGACCTCATGTGCTCGTACTTGATGTCTCTGTAGACCCTGTGTCGAGGATGCCAGATGGTCGTAAACCATAAAATAAAACGGACGTAAAACAGTCATTTTGACTGACTGGAGTCTATGGTAAGTAATTGAAGATAGTGAATTGTCTGGCAAAACATTTCTTGTCAACATACCTAGTCAATCATATCTTGTTAACAAGCCTAGTCAATCATATCTTGTTAACATGCCTGGTCAATCATATCTTGTTAACATGCCTGGCAAAACATGTCTTGTTAACATGCCTGGCAAAACATGTCTTGTTAACATGCCTGGTCAATCATATCTTGTTAACATGCCTGGTCAATCATATCTTGTTAACATGCCTGGCAAAACATGTCTTGTTAACATGCCTGGCAAAACATGTCTTGTTAACATGCCTGGTCAATCATATCTTGTTAACATGCCTGGTCAATCATATCTTGTTAACATGCCTGGCAAAACATGTCTTGTTAACATGCCTGGCAAAACATGTCTTGTTAACATGCCTGGCAAAACATGT